CAAATGGTCACACGCACGAATTGGCATTACACTACAACTTGCAACACACGTACAATACATCAAGCTCTCGCATACATGCATACAAATTTGCGCATTTAGTTGCCAGCAACCGAAGCACTTACATATGTACACACATACAGTCAGCGTCAAAAATATGAATACCCTGACGTTTTGAAAATTTTCTTCTTTTATATTTTCCATACCAATTTTTTTTTTTAGTTTGTTATAAAAATATAATTTATTCTATAGCAAAAACCAGCAGAATCGATTCTTTCAATTTCATATAGAACTCGGGGAGAATTCAAGAAATACCAAAAAATTTCCATCAAAATTTTCAACTTGTCAATTCGATTTCTTAGAAAAATTTTGAGTACGCAGTTATGGCGCAACTTTCAAGTCTCTAGAAATTACCGTTGATTTTTGAGAATTTTTTTTGTCAAGGCTGTTTCGCATTTTCTTACATATAACACATGAACAAAATCTATTTTTATCAACGGTATTTTTCATAGACTTGAAGCGTGCACCTTGTTATACTAAAATTTAATGGGCTACAAAACTGAAAATTAAATGGAATTGAAAAGTAGAAAATTTTGATGACAATTTTTTGGTAGTTCTTGAATTTTCCCGAGTTGTATATGAAATTGAAAAAATTTTTCTGCTGGTTTCTGCTATTGAACTAACTATATTATTATAAAAAAATTAAAAAAATTTGGTATGGAAAATATAAATAAAGAAACGTCTGCGTATTCATATTTTTGACGCTGACTGTATATACTGCTTATGTAGGATTCCAGACGCACTAATCGTGCTTGGTTGCTCTTCATTACTGTGTGTATAAACCACATAATTGTTGAATGCTATGTGTGTAGATTGTGTGGTATATATACATACATATATATGTGTAATTTGTTTGAAATTTTGCTTGAATAAGATATTGTAGTTTTGATAATGACAATGCTATACAACGAAGGCGTGCAGATGGAAGTGATCTGCATCATTATGAGGTGGTGTCGAATATGGAGAAAGTTCTTATGAGAAAGTTCTTTAAATCGGCTTTGCTTACAAGCAGGGATATACTTTTTTGAGTTTATATTCATATGTACGTGTATTTCAATCCTGACCCAGGGTTCCAAATATTATTCTAAATGCATAAATATTTAGCTGAAATTTAGAAGAAATTCAAAATTGCTTCGTTTAAAAAATTTTTTTTTTAAACATGAGAAATTATATATTTTCACAAAAATATTAAAAACCTCTTTAACTTATTTTCAACAAATTCGGTAAGTTTTTTTTAACAAACTTTAAAAAAACTATGGACTTTTTTTCTAAAAAAAAATATTTAAAAAATTGCTTTAAAATCCTTGTAGCCAGTTTTACTTGGATTTTTCGAAAGCAAATTGGAAAAATTGTGTCTTGGTATACTTAAAAATTGTTTTTCTAATAATTATTAGTGGATTAATATTTTAAAAGATTTAAGACAAATTATCTGAAGTTTTTTGTTTTTTACTAAATTTCCAAAATATATTTTACCGATTTCCCGTCTAACGACTTACTCTTTTTCAGATATAAAAAAAATTCTTCACAATTTTTTGCTTTCTAAAAAACTAACTAAGATGCTAGTTTTTTTTAGGTGTTTTTTACTTTTAACAGAATATTCGAAAAATTGACTTGAAATATCTTTACAGAATTTAATATTTTCTTTGGAGTAATAATTCTGGAATAAAAAATTTTTTTGAAAAGATAAGATATTTCTCTTTAAAGATTTTCAAAAAATTCTTTGAAATTTTTGCTTTTGAAAAATTACTGGAATACAAATTTTAATTTTTTTAATTCAAATAGTGGTGTTTTTAAGATATTAAAAAAAGAAATCTTCGAAATTTTTCGCTTTCTAAAAAACTAATAAAAATGCTCGTTCTTTTTAAGTGCTTTTTGCTTTTAACAAAATACTCAAAAAAATTGTTTGAAATGTTTTTACAGCATTTGGTTTTATCTTAGGATTATTATTTCTGAAATTAAAAATATTTTTTAAAAGATAAGAAAATTCTCATTAAAGTTAGTCAAAAGATTCTTTGAAATTGTTGCTTTTAAAAGAATAAAAAAAGCTATTAATTTATTTAATTTTGCGTACCAGAATAAAAAAAAAATATACAAGTTTTTTTAATTGTGAAATTTAAAACTATAATGAAAATCACGAGTTTTGATATGACAGAGAAAATGTCGTAACACGTGAACTTAACTTGGATATGTCGATTACGAATCTGTATTCAGTTTTTCTAGATCAGGCCATTTTTCCAAGATATTCTCCTTTTTATGAAAAAAGTCACATTTTAACAAGAAAAAAAAACTAAAAAATTTATAAATTTTTTGTATATTATTTTCCTTTGCATTCAAGTCCGTTCTTTTACAAAGAGATCAAGCTGCTAACGAAAAAAAAATCTATGAATAAATAAAATAGTTGTGAATGATCAACTGAAAATGTGTAACGATTTTTTTGGATAAAATTCCATAGGAAAGAGTGTTACTCATACGCCATGTACTTGGCCATACTCGTACCTACTCGTACATGGCGTATGAGTAACATTTTCCATATTAAAATTTGAATTTTTTTCATTCGCAATGCAAACATAAAATGGCCTGATCTAGAAAGACGGTATACAGATCCAGAGTCTCTGACCAAAAATGAAGTTTATGTCTCTCGTCGGTTTTTTGTGCCAAGTTAGCGTTCCTACAGTTTTATTATTGGAATATTTCAAAAATTCAAAAAAAAATATATAATTTCTGAAAGATACTTGCATTTTATGTGTTAGTTTGCTTTTAACACAATTTTCAAAGCATTCTTTGCAATTTTTTTACAGCATGATATATTTTCTTTGGATTCATCCACTAGGCATTAAATGGCAAAACTTTTAAGGACAAAAATTGAGCATTAAAAAATAATCGTGTCAGTACGTTCAAAAAATAGTCATTAAGTGCATTTCCAAATGGCATTTTTTAAATGGCACCAATTTTTTTTCATTTCAATGCCCTAGTAAGAATTCGGTATTAGCTTATTCCATAATTTTAAAAACTTTAAGTTTTTAGCCTTCAATTTCCTTTCTTTCTTTCTGCACTTATGGATTGAGCATGCGAAAAAGTTTTTAAGTTATCTATAATTTAAAATCTTGATAGTTCAATGTTCCTATAAATTTGATTCCAATTTATTTATGCACATTAAAGCACTTAAAATCCACAATACAAATATAGGTTTAAGGGAACTATCACGAATTAGACTAAATAAGCCTATATTTTTAGTTTGACGGCATAGACATTAGAAAAAATCACTTCAAATTAAATGACTTCTTTATGCACCCTCTTAAAGTACCTTAGATAATTTCTGTGTACTTGCGCTTTTTTATACAACTATTTACTAAAAGAAAAAAATATTGTATCTGCTTCTTAATAACATAAAAACTCTTCTTGGCTTAGCCTTTCAGTTCTTCAAGTCAATGCTTAAGCATATAAAATTGATGTTCGCACTTAGCGGAACAATGGAAGTTGGATAATGTCCAACACAAGCCTGGAAGATAATATCTCACATTTAATCCATAAATCATTTTTTCAGTGAAAATGATTCACGGAACACGGAAGGGTCTTCCTGATTGCCCAGTTAATAACCAAAATCTAATCACATGCGGTAACCGGTTTTTTTCTGTTTTTTTTTTTCAAACCACTCGCCACCAATATTTTCCAAAAACAAGTAGTGTACATATTTTGAATTTGTTTAATGCTTCAGCGTATTATGTACATATTTTGATGGAAGGCTTCGAAATGATCGGGGGTATCAGAGACAAAGATCTCTTCAACTTATTTTCATATCCAAAAGTCGAAGCGATCTCGAAATTTAAGAGGTATTAAATGCGCAACGCCCAACAATTTATCAAAAAGTTAAGTAGAACGCGTCCAAAGTGCCACTCTTGTTTTAATCTTCGGAGCATTAGGCTCCGCTATCAGTAATATGTACATATAAGCACTTGGTTCACCTTCAACTCACATAAAGCGCTGCAGCCTCGCTAGATCTACGGTGCTAACCCCTATCTAGTCACTCGAACCTTATTATTTTCATGAAATTAAGCGCTTAGTAGGGTGTCATATTCCACTTTCTGGATGGAGATGATAGTCGCTCGCGAAGGTGTTTAAACCTAAGTCGAGTTATAGGTAGGTAATTACAATCACAATCCTCCTGTAGCCCAAAAAACCTGCAGTTCGTTTCCTCAGAGAGTCAGATTTTGTGTAGATGGTACCTTAATCCCTCTCTGCTAAGAGAGGTGCTGCGTTGGGCAACACATTTCGCTAGGGATGCCAGCCATTTCATGATCATCGAAGCCCTCATGGCCCGGAATCCACCACAGGGCTACACTGTTGTTGTTTCCTAGTTTTATCAGTATCTTTTTGCAACTGTCTGCTACTTTTGACACCGTTTTATGAAAGTCAAGTGCCTGGCTAACCGACATGATGTTAATTGTTGCCCCATTAGTCCTTCTGTGATGACATTCGTGAACACAGACTTCAATTGCGAAAGCATTCGCCTGAAAAATGGTTAGGTATACGCCCAACGGGACACTTTTTTGAACTGTAGGTCCATACACGCCCAGTGTTCTCATCCTCAAGATTGGAACCATCAGTGTACCAAACTTGAGTTACGCCGCTGAACAGGACGATAATCGCTTTAAAGGTATCCCTTTCAGGTATTATTACCTTTTAGGGCTTTATAAAGGTCAGCTTCGTAGCATTAAGTCAGTGAGTTTTACTGCGGAATCATTTTAGATGTTTTTCTTTTTTTTATGTAATTCGAAAAGCTAAGCCAGGATGGGTTTTTTTGAATTTTTTTCCTTAATTTTCTTAATTGCTATTTAAAACTGAATGAACTTAAACTAAATTTCTTAAACCTAAGCTACTTTTTCTTATTATAATTTCACTAAGTGAGTGACAATACTGTTATTGTTGAAAAATGGTTTACTTACATTTTACTGGCTTTTGTTCTTTCTGTTGGCTGCTGATTCTAATAGTTTTTGTGATTCTCCACACTTTTAAAGCTTAACTTGCAATTTTTCACTACAATGACTGGCGTGTAGCGCTGACCTAGTGTGCGGGAGAATTAAAATATTCCAAACAACACTCTAGGTTGTACAGATTTGTTGTTGGTTTTGCGTAAATTGCTATGGGGTTTCCTTACGTTTGTTTGCTATTGTGCTTGAAAATTGTTTTTAGTTTTATTTCTTTTGCTTTTTGTTGATTTTTTGAAGTTTAATTTTTTTTTTAATTTTCTAATTCTAATTTTTCGTTGGAGCTAAGTCCTTTTTTGGTTTATATTAGCTGACTGAATATTTTGTCGCGTAAAACATAAATCTTCTGCAGGTTTGTTTCATTATCTATAAGTTTGCTAGATTTTTTTGTTTCTGGTTGGTACTGTTTTTTTACTAACATTTGTTTTACTTATCGAACTTTAACACTAATCAGCGGTGAGAACTTTAAGGGCTGTAATGGCTGATTTATTTTTTTATTTCAGCTTTAATGGCTTTTTGCGGCAATAGAACAAAAATTCCATTTTTTTGGGTTTGTTTTAAACAAATGTTTCTTTTAAAAAATATTATTCCAAAATTAAGAAATATTAATTTTAAATTTTTTTTTAGCAGCTTTTTATTATTAATCTTCAGTAGGGTGTATGTTTCATTTTAAATGTTTTGAATTAATTTTTCATTTTATTTTAATTTAACCTTTGTACTTGCGTTAGTCCTTACAATATTAGTGTTCTTTACAAAAACTTTAATTATATAGCATACATTTTTTTTTTATAACACAATTTTTGTTTTTTTTTTTTACTTATTATTATTAACATATGCTGGTAGCGCGCTGTGTTCAAAATATTTGTATTTAATTTTTAGTTAACGCAACAGTTTAATTAATTTTTGGCAAGTGATTTTCAGTACTTTTTCGTTTACTTTTATCTTTTGTACAACTTTTAAGTACATATATGTATTTCCTAGTTAGTTTCGCGAAATTGTAAGTTTTTTATACAGAACTTAAATCACTTTTTGTACTACATGTAGTAGTTCATTAGTTTTCATGTGTGGCATTTTTTTTCAAAGAATTCTCAGTTTTGCGCGAAATTTTCAAATTTTTTATGAAAGTTTTTAAAATAGTTGCTATTAAAATATTTTTTAGTTGCTTTTTTGCTTGCAATTTTTGTGAGCGAATTTTTAATAATAAGTTTTCTCTTGCGGCCAAATTTATTTTTATCTTATTTTGCGGAAACCTTTGAATTGAGCATTTGAGCAATGTTTTTTTAAAACGTTTTTATTTTAATTTTTTTTATAATTTTTTCAATGTCGTTTTTGTGTGTGTCTTTTTCTGTGTTTTTGAAAATTTTTTAATTATTGTAATTTTCCTCTTTGTATCTTCACAAACGAAATTTTATATATTCAACAACATCAAAAGTTTTCGAAATTTTCAAAAATTGTTCAGGGAACAATGATGTTGATATTATCTAGTTTTTTTTTTTTTAATTCTTAAAGTTTTATTGATTTTTGGAAATTAAAATTTTTTAGTTTTAGGTTTTAGTTTTTTGGTGCACATCTTTTCATATTTTCAGTATATTACTTCCCGAGAGTTAAAAAAATTTTTTCCACATATATTTTGTTTTATATTTTTGTAAATTATTTGGTGGTTTTTGAAGTTTTTATATACTTATTTATATATTATTATATATTATATATGTATTTCTTTGACAAATATTATAAATTTTTAGGTTCAATTTTGGTTTTAAAATTTTAGTTTGGGACTTTAAGGTTTCCAGATGTTCATATTTCAGACAAACAATTTTTCAGTGTTTTGGCCTAGTTCAGCTCGCTTATATGTTTCTTTGCGGACATTTATTGCTCGTCTTTCTTTTAAACTTCACTTTTTGGCTTTGAGTTCAAATTCAGTTTTCAAAAACAATTTTAACGCACAATCTTTGGGGAATTAAAAAAAATTGGTTTTCATTTTAAATTTCGCCGCTTTAGTTTAGTTTTAGAAAAATTACGAAAAAATGTATAATAATTTTTTATTTGCACTTTTTTCTGTAATCTTTTTAACATGATATTCAAATTTTTATTTTTATTTTTTAATTTTTTAATTATAAAAAAGTTTTTGGATATTTCACTCTATTGTTTTATATCCTTTTACTTTATTCTTTTCCCCGCCTGTTCCATTTGTTGACTCACATGAGTATTTTTTTGCAAACTTCAATTTCCGCCTGTACAATGCATCCCGACTTGTTGCTCAATTCAGCAGTCAAAGAAAAGGGGTGGCGAATCTTTATCGCACACTTGTTGTACTCTGTTGCGCCGCTATATGGTTGCTTTTGGTTTGGTTGGCCAGAGTAACACAAACACACACCCAAGCATATACAAAAAAAGTGGCAAGGCAGCTGCGTAGAGTAATGCGTGGCCGACAACTGTTCACTATCGTCGTTGAAACGCGTCTGAAGCCAGTGTGACGCTCAGCAGCTTGGCGAAGTAGTCGACTTGGTTGCTCATATGCCGTGGTGGCCGTAAACTCCTAGCACTCTCTCACGTGCCTTTATTCACTCCTCCATTTCGCCAAAGCGCAGCATCCTTGCGGAGCGCCTTCGAATTTCGATGTCGACTCCACAGCGCCACTTGCTGCTCTGGCTCGTTTCCTCTGTCGGCACACCTCCTCTGTTGCTGCTTCTTCTCGCTCGTCAACACCTGCCTCGTCCTCGGCGGCTAGAACAGCTACTATTCGTGCTCAACAACACGGCGCAACAACCAAAAAGCAACTGTTCGGCAGCGACGTGTTGCGCATCCTTTTTATAGCCGCCGTGGCGGGGCAGCGCAGTTACACGCCACGCACGAACTGTGCGCGCCGAGAAGGTGGTCGGCTTATGATTCTAACCAGAAATGAAGGTCGCTTTGGTGCATGTATTTTTTTTTTTTTTGTTCTAAAGGTGTGCTGAAGCAACAGGATGCGCAGCTGTTGCTTCTATTGAGCGCACACGCACATGCGAACTCTCACTAGTAGCATAGGAGGCAGCATACTTTGTGGAGCGCCACTCATGTGGCTGCTCACTCATAGCAGCTTTCCACCATTCCTTGCGCTGCCTAAAAATTCTCTTATTTTTAGTCACTTTCATGTGTGAAGGCAGTGACGGCTCTCATTTTCGCGCTCGCTCTTTTGCTTTCATTGCTTCGCTCAGCTTCATTGCCGTGATAATAATAATAATGAAAACCACAAAATTAATACCAATTACGAAATTGTCAGCAAGTTAAAAGCAATAAATAAATTATACGTATTTAGCCTTCGGGAAAATGACGGCAGGCACAGCAAAGGCTCGCATTTTACTTCGCCTTTCAACTAATCGCTTCCAACTTTTGATTCAACTATTCAACTCTAAAATTCGTCTCATGTCAACACCGTCGCAATCGCACGATAAGGGCAACAGCCCAAACATCGACAGCCTTTGTGCTAAAATCACTACCAGAACCCATCTGATCGAAGGGATTCGGATAGATATCCTCGCGTCAGTGATGGCGATACGGCACCTGAATGACTGAAGAACGAACATCGAGCTGTACGTAGATCGTTCTTTCGACGAGGCGCGAAATAAAGCGGCGCTCAACGAAACACACGGCGGTGCTGTCATGACGAGCCTTAGTAGCCGTAAAGACAACGTAGTGCCTTGTGGGCACCTCCTCGCATTACCGATCTGACGAGACTCTTGCGGGGTTGAGCTCTGCAGCTCCAACAGCTCTTCATAATGTGGGCTTGCAAATGAAAAAGGCTCTACACTGCGAGGTATTCATAGTTGGAATTTTCTTGACATATTCGGAGCTTTCATTGCCGTCTGTTTCTGGAAATCACTGTAGGGCCTTATCTCTACATACATAAATACCAAATTGCTGAACAGTGGTGGCTCAGTGGGGTTCAGAGTCAAGGCCGAGGAGCGAAAACAGAGACACTGATCAGTGAGGTTTTCTATCCCCAATGATGTGAACGCCAATACTTAGCTCAATATCAGAGGTAATGCCTATAGATAAACAGCTTTTGCTTAGATCTCTTTCCAGTAGATGTCTAATACCTTGCATTTAAAATAATAATTTTTTAAATAACACTGCACCTCAATCACTCTCTCGTAGTGTCCAGATTTGTTAGGTCAAGTACGCAGCCTCGCGCCAAAAATATAAAACCATTCATGCATTTCTTTGTCGCGCTATATGAATGCATAATTATGTATGTATTTGCGACTAAATACATATGTATGCATGTATTTATGCTTGTTATCCTACGTCGACCTTATCAGCAGCCTTTAGCGACGAATAAAAATAGCTAAACCACATAAAGCAAAAAAATGTGAGGAAAAAGACTGTTGCATGCTTTTTAGCTCAAGGTCCTGCATACCTGTTGGACGCGTTGCTTGTCAGCTAAACTAAGTAAAGCAAAGGACAAGGCTATGCCGACAGTAATCAGGAAACATACAAATATTTATGTTGTATGCATGTAAGTCATGGCGAAGCGGTGCTGAACAGAGAGATATAGAAAGAGAGAGTACAGAGCGACAGTGCTAATCAGAGTGTGAGAAAAGAGAGAGAGAGAGACACGAACAAGTAGAAAAGTTGTCCTGGAGGCAGTATGCTAAGCTTACTATAAGCGCGACTGGAGTGGGGAGTGGGTGAAGGAGGGAAAAAAAATTCGAGTTTAAAATTGAATGAAATGAAGAAGAAGAAGAACCTTCGCCTTCATGCTCTCTCTATCTCCACTTTTAAAGCCATATTCAGCACCTTAACCTTGATTGCAACACATGAACGCCCATCGGTCTCTTTTCGAAAATGCAAGCTTCTCAGTCTTTCGGTTAAGGGCGCAGAACTGTTAGCTCTTTCGGGCCATTTTTCTATCACATACCCTGTAACCAGTGCTCTCTCTGACGCTTAGCCACAGCAGACTGCTTGGCACCAGCGCAACAACTTAGTCCTATTATTTCGCTCCCTTGTACATATGTATGTTTTCATGTCTGTTTGGAGGTCTATAGGTATGCGACATAAGTGAAATAAGCGTCGCGTTGCTCCATGACGTGTTAGCTATCCTTGTGTGTAAATTTATTTCCCGATCAAGGGAAGCTGGTGGTGAGACAACTATTAATGAGTTGGAATGAAAATGCGGATAGTGGGATATGAAGCTGCTGTAATTAAGTGAGAGCGAGTGAGGTAATGTGTGAGCGAGAAATGAATTTATTTTGCAAAAATTGTTGTTTTTGTCCATTTTTTTATTACCTGACACTGGCCTACCTTGTAGGCATTTATGCATATATGAAATGTAAATCGGTTGATACACGATTACATGCGAGTTTGTTGCTGTGTGCACATTAGGCTGGTCCAAATTTGTATCCCAGCCTCACCCCCAGAACTGAGGAATATCAGAATAAAGATTCGTGTTCATGGCATTGTTATAAAATCGTAAAACAAAATATTTTATGATCGAACAAGAATGGCTCCTTTCATAAATCTTCAAAAACTAAAACTATGATGCTTATTTAACT